ATTATTATTATTATTATTATTATTATTATTATTATTATTATTATTATTATTATTATTATCTTCTTCTTCTTCTTCTTCTTTATCTTCTTCTTCTGCTCCTGCTTCTGCTTCTGCTGCTGCTGCTGCCTCTGCTGCTGCTGGTTTTTTTGTGTGTTTGTTTGCGAGTTGCAGCAGCTGCAGCAGCTCTTCATACCTCCTTTCGTCTTCATCGCCTGCTGCTGCTGCTGCTGTTGCTGCTGCTGCTGTTGCTGCTAGAGGTCTTAGAGCAACTTTCATCCATCTCCTCAAAGCGAGGGCAGCAGCGCATGCAACTTTACGAGGCAGAGGTCGTGCTGCTGGCATCCTGGGCTTGCTGCTGCTGCTGCTGCTGCTGCTGCTGCTGCTGCTGCTGCTGGGGGGTGGGGAAGGTCCTGTAAGGAGACTGAACAACGATGCTGCAATCCGCGGATACACCTTAAGAGCAGCATCTCGTGCTGCAGTTCCAGGAGCAGCATCTGCTGCTGTTGCTGCTGCTGCTGCTGCTGCTGCTGCTGCTGCTGTTGGCCAAGGGGCGTCTGCCTTCCAATCAAAACAACCAGCTATGAGATACAGACACCGCAGCGCCCAGAGCACAAGCTCCCTGAATGCTACTAAGCTGCTGCTGCTGCTGCTGCTGCTGCTGCTGTCTCCTGCATAAACGCAGTGCAGCAGCAGCAGCAGCAGCTCATGCAGCGCGATGCTGCATGCAGCGCCAGTAGGCAGTCCTCCTGCTGGGGGAACAGAGGCAAGAAAAGAGTTGGTGAATATTTTATTTGTGTCTGCTTCTGTAGGCAGACGCGCTGCATGCGCTGCTAGCTGCAGGGGCCAGGCTGCAGCAGCAGCAGCAGCAAGCAGCTGCAGCACCGCCAACCCGAACCCTGTAAAGGAAGCTGCAGCAAATTGCTGCTGCTGCACTTTCAAGCAGCAATCTAAACCCCTGCTGCACAAATGCATGCACTGCCCAAATACTGAAGCAAAAAACCAACCGCGAGACAACACCTGCTGCCGCCATTCCTGCTGCTGCTGCTGCTGCTGCTGCTGCTGCTGTTCCTGCTGCTGCTGCTGGGTGTTGGGTATCAGTTCGTGCTTAAGAATTAAAAGGAGAGCGGTAAGACAGCATAAGAGTTGCTCAAGCAGAGACAGCAGATGCCCTGCAAAAAAGAAAGAGGAGGAGCGCCTGCTGTCTGCTGCTGCAGCAGAAGCGCCGCAGCTGCTGCTGCTGCTGTCTGCTGCTGCAGCCGAATCACTGCAGCAAACTTCTTCCAGTACCTTCAGCTGCGCATGCAGACACTCGAGAAGCGGCTCCCCAAACCCAAACAAACTTGCAAAGGATCCTGCAGCAAAAACATGCGTCCCTCCCGGCTGCTGCTGCTGCTGCTGCTGCTGCTGCAGTTGCTGCTTCTGCAGTTCTCGCAGCTCCGCACGAAACGTCTGAAGCTGCTGAGAAGCAGAGGAAGCAAGAGACACGGCATCTTTAACTGCTGCTGCAGGAAGAGTTCGTGGTTTTATTAGGGGGCCCCTAGGGGCCCCTGCCTGGGGGCCCCGATTGGAAGAAGCAGCTACAGGCTCTCCTACAAAGTTCAAAAGCTTATTAAGAGCCTCTACAGTCAGAAATAAATGAAGACTTCGTCTTTCTTCTGCAGGTATACCTTGCAGATTCTCTGCTGTATCATCGAGGGGCCCCATGGGGTGAAGAGCAGCTTCTGTGTACAGACAGACCCTCTAATAAGCCATTAACTTTCCTAAATAAAAAGCAAACAGATCCAAATGAAGAATAAGACGAAAACGTAATTATAACGCTGCGCAAGGCAGCATCTGGGGGCCCCCGAACCCGGGGGGGCCCCAGGGGGCCCCCTACGTCTTAGCTGCCAGCACCCTCCAGGATCTATCGATTTGTTGCAGGCTAAGCAGAAGAAGATATTATTTTGCTTTATTGAATAACTACGTGGAAATAAACTCAAATAAGAAAGGAATTGCCGAGGTGAAAGTACCAAAATGTGAGCTCCACTGAAAGCTGTTTGCGGCTCGATTGAAGCTGCATGCCAACTAGCATCAAGAATCATATTTTAATTGATAAGTACTTATACTAGATTTCTTTATTATTTATAATGGAAGATCAGCAAGAAATATATGTGTACACAATAACGCGAAACCAACACGCCTTAAAGCCTTCGTTTGAATTCCGGTGTACGCGCACCCCACCGTGCACATACAACAGGATGTAGAATATTCTTGAATATTCTTCTCCGAAGTGAGAAACTGAACTTTAAATCGTGGAAACTGAACATTTTTAAACACAATAACTTATTTCTCATTCATCTTTTACTATTATCTTTCCATTTTTCCGTCCATTTCACTCGATTCCCTACGCGGCGGTTCCGCTTCAGCCCCATGAAGGCACCGCACCAGTGGTGAGGGCGTCTCAAGGTTGTGTTTTTTTGTGTAAATTCTTGGTATTTACGCGCTTATTTTGTTATTGTATTTGCATACTTTTGTTATTTCGCTCGAAAACCTCAAAATTACGTCTTTTCCCTCATGAATTCTACCTATACAACTCCTCGATAATGGCGCCTAAGCGGCGGAGCCGCGCTGCGGGTACTTCCAAAAGCTCCATTTGCATCACCCCCAGACGTCGATCCGCCCGTCTTCTTCAGCGCATGCAGTCTGCGCAACCCCCTGCTGTGGATTCTGCAGCAGTTAAGACCCCTGAAGCAGCAGAGAAGGAGCAGCACTTTGACTGCAATGCAGCAGCAGCAGCATCAGCAGCATCAGCAGCATCAGCAGCATCAGCAGCAACAGCAGCATCAGCAGCAACAGCAGCATCAGCGGCAACAGCAGCATCAGCAGCAATAGCAGCAGAACCAGCAGCAGCAGCATCAGCAGCAGGAGATGTGCCGCACTTGGAGGTAAATCCCTCTCCAACCGAACTGTCAAGAAAGTCAGGGAAGGAGCAAAGCGATTTTTCAACAAGCAGAGATTCGCCTACCAGCACTGCACTTCCCTCACCTCAACGGTGTACATACACCCTACCGGTGCCTGAAGGCTTTGATTTTTCGATGGCGATCTGCAGTTACGGCTTTTTCTGCATGATGCCTAATCAGGTAGTTAATATATATATATATACTAGACATATATATGAGATATATATATTTTATATATATATTATATATATATCTTTGTATATGTCTTGTGTGTGATGTTTTCTTTATCTTGTTTGAAGAAGACGGTAGTGTTTAAATGTGCTGCTGTGCATGCAAATACTGCTGTATATTGATGCAGTGGCTGCCTGCGCGTCCCTCTACACCTGGCGTGAAGACACAAGGAACTCTTCGTCGTCCTCTTCGATACGGCTATAAATGGATGAAGTGCTGCCTTGCCGATATTACTTCACTAGAACCAAACTCCATCAGGTAAACGCACAAGATGCTGCTGCTAATCCTGCTGCTGCTGCTGCTGCTGTTCGTGCTGCTGCTGCTGCTGCTGCTGCTGCTCGTGCTGATGCTGATGCTGCTGCTGTTCGTGCTGATGCTGATGCTGCGGCTGTTCGTGCTGATGCTGATGCTGCTGCTAATGCTGCTGATGGTGTTGCTGATGCTGATGCTGTCTGTTACTGCTGCTTCCGCGGCAGCAGCAGCTGTTTGCAGAGAACAGCAGTGCTGCTGCCTTTGCTGCAGCCAACGCCAGAAGCAGCAGCTGCTGCTGCAGTACTCATTGCAGTAGCTGCTGCTGCAGAGGGTTGGGAAGCCCTATTTAAATATTATTTTTATGTTTCTTGTTTTTGTTGTTTGTTCATTTTTATAGAGTCATCTTAGAGGGGGATTTGCCGGCGAATGCGGCTGAAGAAGAGGAAGTGCTGAAGCAGGTATATCTGTACTCATGTTATTTATTTATTTATTTATTTATTTATTTATTTATTTATTTATTTATCTGTTTGTTTGTTTGGCTGTGTAGGTGTGCATGCTGCTTCTTTATTGCTTCAGATAGATGTGCTGATTATTGATGTTTATTTTCATTTATTATTTATATTTATTTTTCATTTAAGTAATTAATTTATAAACAAACAAACAAATCACTGAATATATCAACAAAATTATTTATTTATTTCTGCTGCATGCAGTTAGCCGATCTGCCGTCTGTACGTGTAGGCAGAGAAATACACAAAGAAGTTAATCCTTTATTTATTTGTTTTTTATTTACGTATTTATTTTTATTTATTCAATCTATTTATTTAATTTATTTAATTTATTTAATTTATTTAATTTATTAATAATTTATTTACAAGTACAGCGCACAGAAATACATCAATAGGTTGATCCTTTATATATCTGCAATTTTATTTACCCATATCCATATACATATACATATACATATATATTTATTTATCTGTTTATTTATATATTTATATATTTATTTATTTATTTATTTATTTATCTACAGGTACGGCGAATGTGTCGTTTGCACTTAGACGCATATAAAAACATAAATACGCAAATCCTTTTTTTATTTTTTAGTTTATATATATAGATATTATTTATTTATATCTATATCTATATATATAAATATTTATTTATTTATTTATTTATTTATCTACAGGTACGGCGAATGTGCCGCTTAGACTTGAGTGCATTTCGCGGGTTTTCAGTGCAGCAATTTTGGAGACTGCATGCAGAGGCATCGAGGCGAAGTTTTGGATATTTGTTCAGAAGCCCCACTGTGTGGGAAGATATGGTGGGGTTGTTGTTATATATAT